GTCCACTTGTCTCCAATGGTCCCTTCAGAGCACGCCCTCTAGCTCAGCATTCAAGGCCCCTGACATCCTTTCTGATTTATCTGCCCTCCCCTCCCTCCTCATTACCCACCACCACACCCTCTCCCCTCTAAACCAGGAATCCCGTCCACCAGCATTTTCTAGCCAGCCTCTAGCATCAACACCAGCGCCTTTTCAATTCTGGCTTCATTAATACTCACTGGGGAGTTTTTCAAAATAACCAAAGCATAAGGTCAACCCCCAGAGACTCTGATTCAACGGTTCTGGGGTGAAGCCTGGGCCTTGATAATTTTTACAAACTTTCCTAGGTGATTCTGCCAACTCTTCTAGAAAGCCAGGAGGAATTTCTCCAGCCTTTGAACCCCCACAGCACTCTGAAACCACCTACGCTTGGCTAGCCTGGGTCAACCACTGTGGATTTGTCATTCCCTAGCAGGTAGAGGCTATCTGCCTGCCTCCAAGGTATTGTGGGAAGAAACCTGTACTTCAAACTCTCCAGGTTATCTGATTTCAGTCTTTGTCTTTGAGCTATTTTACAGTTCAATAATTTATAGATAACTGATAATAATGCAAACTAATTCTTATAAACATGCTCATTCTGTCCCATCCAGTAAAGGTCCAACTGATTTCTCTCTCCCACCGGTGGAAAAACCAGTTTGCCTCCATTTGAACATTCCTTTCAATATGTAGGTGTCTGTCTGCTGATTCTCTTTGGAGCTGGTTATAACATCTGTCTGGCCTGGTCATTGATTAATGAGTAAAATTAAATCCTTAGCACAAGGTCATTTTTACGTCTGTGTGAGTCATGACTCTATTTTTTCCTGGAAATTACTGTGTATGCTCCTTGGCTATACCCCCTACCTTAGGGTGTGGGTGTGGCTCATAAGGATTATTGGATATAAGGCACCGAATGGCTTTAAGGCTTTCTTTAGTGACCTCCCCTTTGAAAAACCACAGTGTAGGGGAGGAAAAATAATTTTCCTTCTGCTAAAGCATCTAAAGTCCTTCTGGCTGGTCTCATAATCAAATTGACGTGAGACAGCTTACCAAGAGAAAATAACCAAATTTATCACATATGTGCATATAAGGGTTCCATAAGAATATAGACCCAAGGACGAAAGAGGCGGTTGAGGCTTATATGCCATCTTGAGCTACGGAGAAAGGTGGGTATTGGTTTGGACTTCAAAGGGAAGGTAGGCAATTCACAGGTAGATGAGAAAGAGCAAATATCTGGGCCACGCCATAAACCATGGGGCCCACAGGGGAGTCTAACCACCAGACTTTGCTAGGTTCCTCTCTGTCTGCCACACTTGGTTCATATTGTGCTAAGGTGATTTTGCAAAGGTGAATATGCTAAGGTGACAGCCCTACCCGGAGCAGTATTTCTATCTGAAGTTTTCAGACAGGTAAGGGAAAGGTAAAAGGCTCTTCTTGAGTCTTCTTTTTGTTTCTAAAAAATAACCAGCTTAAAATAATCATAATCCTCCCAAAAGGCAATATTTTGCTTCCCGTCAACAGAATAAAAGGAACCGTCCAGCTGGCTGTTTTAAAACTGCTTTACTCCTCGTTATACAGCCAGGAGAGGAAAGAACTTGAGGGGTTAAATAAGTTGCCCAACTTGTAAAGAAAGTTAGTGATTCAATAAGGGTTCATTTTTCAAAACTATTTATTGAACACCTCCTGTATGCCCCTCGTTAGGAGTTGGGGATAAAATAAAAAATGAGACAAGTCTTCAGTCCCCAGGAAGCTGTAAATCTAGTGCAATAATCTGCCATTTTTTTTTATCCTAAACACTACCAGTAACAAAAGAAAAAAACCAGAGCGTTCCTCACGATAAACAAAAATGTACTTTTTAAGTATGAGATGAAAAGCATATAAAAGGTCTAATAGTTTCTTCCTGTACCCCAGAAAGTCATCTTTAGTGCCTCTGGGTGTGTGCACCCCACTTCTAAATCTAAATCCTTCTCGTGCCCCTTTCCTGATGGCTACACCCCTAGCCCGCAGGAAGATACCCAGGACCAGCCCCACTGCCCTCCAGGAGCCTCCAGGGTAAACACCACTCTGGCCATGTGCCTGGGCACCCCGCTTCGCCGCCCCCCCTCCCCAGCTCATGCACTCAGGTTTCTTAGAGAGCAGTGTCTTTCCCTCTCCTGACCCAGAACCATTGATCTCAGGGCTGGACAAGGCCCTAGGAGATCATTGGGCTGCTCCAAGTTTGGAATTGGACTGCCCCAGGTTTGAACCCCAGCTCAGGTCACTTTCGTGAGAAGCAAGTGCAGTGTCTGACTACAGTGAGAGAGGCTGGAACCTGACCTGCTATGCAGGAACTGTGAGGCCTTAGGCAACTACTTAACCTCATATGTAAACTGGGTGATAAAAATAATACCTACTGCAGGGGAGTTGTGGTGAGGATGAAAAGAACTGACATGACTAGTGCTCAGAAGAGGCCCTGGCACACAGACACATTATATAAGTGTATTATTGCTTCCTTAATCTTTCAAAGGCTGAGTTTCCACATCTGCAAAATGGGCACGGTAACAGCATCTCACATATCAAGGGCATAGCCAGGGCCTGGCAAGTTGGAAAGGTTTATTTAATAAATAATAGAGGTTGCTATTTTATTATTATTTAAGGAGTACCAAGACACCTGTTTTACAGGTGAGGAACCTGAGGCTCAAGTCACCTGCCTTCTCAAGTACCACACCCCTCTGAGATTATAACAGTAGTACTTGTTTCTCTGTGCACCACACTCTACAGTTTAGAAGACACTTTCGCATCTGCCATTTTATAATCTCATTAGGGCAGATCCTCATTTTACAGATGGGGGATCTGAGGCTCAAAGGACAGTCATCCCTCCTTAGCCAGCCTCTGTGGGGGCTGCTCCACCCCAGGAAGAAAGGGTATGGAAAATGGGTGATTCCAAGCCAAAAAGTGTATAAGCATAAAGGCACCCCCATCACACACACAGACTTCTTTTTCTCTATTGGGGGGCAGGGGGAGGAGACATGCATACTCAGAAAGCAGGGTAAAGACCACATCCTGTGCTTTGTCCCCACCCAGGAAGTATCTTGGAGAGGCTGGGTGGGGGGAGGCTGGTGAGACCACTGGGACTCCCCAGGAAATCCTGCAATGGTACAAGAAGAGCCATGCAGCTCCAACCCATTTCACCAGCTGGGGCCCTGGGTACATCGCTTATCCCTCTAGAGAGGAAGGAACAAAGGCCCCGGGGGTAGGGAGTGTGCCCAGGGCACCCAGCTGGTTAGTGGCAGGACTAGGGTTGAGGCTGACGGCCCAGGGCTCCCCTGGGTGCTGCAGTGCAGATGTTCCAGACACTGGCAGCTATCCATCACTGCAGAGTTCCCCATCCTGTCCCAGGAATCAACCCCAAGGGTCCAGGACCCCGTCTTCCCAGATGCAGCCCCTTCTCTGCATACTCACAAACACATGCTGCCCCAGCAACAGCTGTGGCCCTTACCCAGAAACCACAAATATTTTCTGTATCTCAGCAGCCCGCCTTGGGAACACGGGGTGGAAGGCAAGGAAGATGGATGAGTGACTGTCCCAGCTGCAGAGGGGGGGGATGGAGGCCTCAGGCTCCCTCCCCAGCCCCACCCAACTCCCAGAATCCTAAATCTTAGAACAGTTGAATCCTAGAATACCAGCACTAGAAGTGGCAGCCAATTCATCAGACTTTGTTACAGACGGGTAACTAAGGCCCAGAGAGAGAAGGGGCTTGCCCAAGGACAACCAGCACCTGGAACTGTAACCCAGCTTTCCACTGACCCCTAGGCCAGTGCCCTCTGCATGGCCCAGGGCCTGATGGCAACAAGCGCGGGTCTGTGGGAGCTGAAGCTGGGAGGGTCATTCACCTCGAAGGGGAAGGACTAAGAGGTCAGCATATGGCGTCCGGGTCAGTGGGGCCAGCAATTTAAGGTGCGCTTTGGGTGGGGGATGAAGGGAGAGTGAGGGAAAGGGCAGACTGGGGGGAACCATTCTTTTCACAAACTGGGAGCCATTTGTCCAAATTTGGAATAGTCCGGGAAGACTTAACAGAATTTAGAGAAAAGGAGGGGGAGGGAGGGAGGAAGCAAAGGCTGGCCTGGTCCTCCCGAAGGACCCCTTGCCCCTTCCCCCTGCCAGGCTTCACAAGCCGGTAATGGAGACTTCCCGCACCTGTAATTATCCTTTGCAGCTGACAAATAAATCAATTTTCACAGCCACCGTTTCCTCTGAGAGGGGCTGGGTTCGTCGACTCTGGGCTTAGAGAAGGAAACAGGCTGAGAGGGAAAGCTATTAATTCAAGGTTACTGTGCAAGTTGTCGGTGGAGCTGGGATTCGGATTCAAGGGATTTCACTCCCGTGCTGGTGTTCTGGGAGTTATCTGAAGCCCACAAGCTCCGAGAAGGCCTAAGCTGGGCTTGGGGAGAGCAGGAAGAAGGGTGGGGCCTCTTCCCGCCGCAAGGTCCCTTGAATGGGCCTCGCTTTCCAGGCAAGCAGGGTCCGCGGGGCCCCGAGGTGTAGACAGCGGTCCGCACACAGAGAGCCCTCCCCACAACACACTCAAGCGATTTCATAAGCGGCTGGAGATCTGACTCTGTCTTCGGCTTCTGCCACACCCTTCCCTGCGGGTCGGGTCCTTAGATCCCCGTCCAGCTGTCCCCAACCCCGAGCCTTCAAAGTCTCTCCATCCCCCTCCTCCCCCCAAAAGGGCAGTGCCAGCGAGAGACCCCGAGGCCTCAGCCCAGGTGCACCCCTCCCACACACCATGCCCCCTGCAGAGCCGGCCCTCCCCTCCCTCCGCTCCCCTCCCCTCCCCTCCCCCAGCCAGGGTGCCGTCCGCCTCCGCTTCTCCGCCTGCGGCCCTAGATTTGCTCCACTGCGCTCCCCCAGACACACCCAGCCCGCGACCCTCTCGAGTGCCCTTGGGATTCGGCTCCCTGCGACCCTCCCCGCTTCTGGACGCGCCCTGCCCGGATCCCGGAGGGAGGCATGGGTCCGCGATGACGGGGCGTTTGTAGATCGCCCCCGCGTCCTTGCAGCCCCCTGCCTGGAGTACCCCGGAGCAATCCCGCTCCAGCTTCAACCCGCTCACCGAGCAGCGGAGGCCTCCTGTGGCGAACGGGCGGACGGGCAGACGGACCGGCGGACACGGAGCTGGCTGGATGGGAGCCCGTTAGCGGAGCAGCAGCAGCCGCGGCGCAGGGGCGGGCGGGGAAGACAGCCGTGCGCTCTCCCGCCCGACACGTGGCGCGCAGGGGCCAATCCGGCGGGGCCCGCTCGCCTCCTCCCTCCCCATCTCCCCCACCCCCCCCGCAGTTCCTCGCTCCTTGAATCTTAGAATGTCACCACCCCAGCAGGGCCTCGCGAAGAGAGCCTGCGTCCGAGCTCAGACCCGGGACTTGAGACTTGAGAGAGGGGAGGGGATTTGGCCAAGGTTACACCGCCATTCAGGGCTGGCAGTGAGAGCGCCCGACTCCAGTTCTGCACACTTTCCCCCAAATTCCTACCACTTGCCAAAGCTTTGTTGAGAAACGGATCATTGAGCCTTGACAAAATCGAGGCCAGGCGCTTTATCCGTCTGATCAGATTCCATTCCTCAATAGCCCATCAGATCCGCGACATTACTTACCCACTTTCCAAGAGAGAAGAGCCCAGAGCAGAGCCCGTCCTTTGGCTAATGTCGCAGAGCTAGTAAGTTGTGGAGTCGGGATCGGAACCTGAGCCACGTGACTCCGGAGAGCCGCATAGTCCAGAAGAAGAAAGGGAGACGAAGAGACCAGCAGTTATAATCCAGGGCTGTGGGGGAAAACAATAGGGATTTTTGTTTGTTCGTTTGTTTTGTTTTTTAAGATAAACTCTGGGAATCCAAATAAAACTGAGAATAATTGTCCCCCAGGGGATTTGTAAAGACTTCCCGAAGAAGGTGATTTGCAGTGAAGGTCAGTAGTACCTCCCATCCCCTGCCCCCTTAGAAATTATGCTTTGATGAAAAGATGGAACGATGGCAATCCTGGGCTGTCACGCAGCTGCTGAGTCTCCCTATGCAAGACATTTTACTGCTCTGATTCTCAATTTGCTCATACGAAAGATAAGGATAACCCAGGCCTTTTACAAGGGTTACCCTCAATCTGTTCCTAGTTCAGAGACCTCTAAGCTTCCAGAAGGAGACCTGGTTGGAAATTATGTCCTTTCATCTGTCTCTTCATTTCTTAACAAACATTTATGAGCACCGTTGCATGCCAGGCACTGAGCTGGGAGGCCAAAGCGAGCAAATGGGAAGCGGAACCCTGACCTGCCCTCATGGAGCTTCCGGCCCTTATGGAAGACAGATGGTTAGGTCATTGTGCCACTAAAGTTTAGCTAGTTGTAATCTGGGCACCCTAAAGTGCTGTGATGGCCCACAGCAGATGGACCCAGCCTAGCCTAGGCTCCTGAATGAGAGTGATGTTAAGGTATGATCAGAAAGATGAATGGAATCTAGTAAAGAGACTAAGAAGAAATTAAAATTATTATCTTCAGATGAGATCTGCTGTCAGTAGAAGCAACACCTTTTGAGATTGACTGTGAGGGGGCTGGCCTCAGTGAGGATGGAGGTGGGTCTCCTCAAGCATCATAAGAGTAGCTGCTATTTATTGAGCATGTTCTATGAGCCAGGCACTGTTGTAAGCACTTTGTTTACAATGTTGCATGTAAGCTTCATGATTCATTAATAAATATTTGTTTGGGACCTATTCTATATCAGGCACTACTTTAGGAGCTTTATCTGCAAACAAAACGATCTCTGCCCTTGGGGAATCTGCATTACAGCAGAGGGGAGATGGAGACACAGTAAGTAAACACGACATGTCAGTAGGTGACAAGTGCTGTGAATAAAAGGAAGAAAAAGTGGCTGAGGAGCCCAGGAGGACGGGGAAGCTGCAGCGTTACGGAGGGCGTTGGGCAGATGCCGCTACGAGAAGGTGAGATTTGACTAAAAACGTGTAGGAGGTGAGGGAGGACGTGGAACTGAACAGACGTCTGTGGGAAGAACTTTCCAGGCAGAAGAAACAGCCAGAAGAAATGCTGTGCGGCAGGAGGAGCCCTGGAAAGTCTGAGGAACAGCAAGGCGGCCGGAGCGGAGCGAGTGAGCGGGAGGGTAGCGGGAGAGCAGAGGTAAGGAAGGACCAGGTCCTGGGGGTCGGGGCCAGGGTTGGGGCTGCGGGCCCCTGTCAGACTTTGTCTCTTACTCTGAGGCACTTGCAGGGAGCCGTTACTGAGTGTTGAGCAGAGGAGGGACATGACTTTTTTTGTCCTTTTATGGGGATAAAATTCACATAACATAAAATTAAGCATTTTACAGTGAACAATTCAGTGGTGTTTAGTAAATTCATATTGCTGTACAACCACCACCACAATCAAATTCCAAAAACTCATACCCATTAAGCAGTCACTCCCCATTCTCCCCTCCCCTCAGCTCCTGGCAACCACCAATCTGCTTTCTGCCTCTATGGATCTACCTATTCTGAATATATCATATAATGGAATTGTAGTATATGTGGCCTTTTGTGTCTGGCTTCCTTCACCTAATATATTATATTAGTCAGGGTTCTCCAGAAAAACAGAACCAATAGGATATATTGAAACAGATGAAGGTGAGAGAGAGAGAGAGAGAGAGATTGATTTATTATAAGAATTGGCCCGCACAGTTATGGCGGCTGAGAAGTCTTACAATCTGCTCTCTGCAAGCAGAAGAACCAGAAAAGCCTGTGGTATAATACAATTGGAGTCTGAAGGCCTGAGAACCAGGGGTGTGTGTGTGTGTGTGTGTGTGTGTGTGTGTGTGTTTGGGGGGAGGTGACAGGGAGTTGGGTATAAGTTCCAGAATCTGAAGCCTGAGGACCTAGAACTCAGAGGTCTGAGGGCAGGAAAAGAGGGATGTTCCAGTTCAAGAAGAGAGAGACGAGAGAGAGGGAATTTGCCCTTCTTTCTCCTTTTGCTTCATTTGGCCCTCAGTGGACTGGGTGATGAGGGCAAGTGTCTTTCCTTAGTCTACTGAATCAAATGCCAATCTCATCAAATGCTAACCCTCACAGACACACCCTGAAATAGTTTTACTAGCTCTCTGAGCATCCCATAGCCCAGTCAAGTTGACACATAAAATTAACCAGCACAACAATGTTTATAAAGTTTATTCAAATTGTGCGCACATCAGTACTTCATTCTTTTTCTGGCTGAATAATATTCCATTGCGTGGAAGTACCACATTTTGCCTATTCATTCATCAGGTGATGGACATTTGGCTTGTGTCTTCTTTTTGGCCATTTTGGACAGTGATGCTATAAACATTAATATATAAATATTTGAGTATGTATTTCTAGTACTTCTGTGTATTTACTGAGGAATGAAATCGCTAGTTCATATGGTAATAGAGAATTAACTTTTGGAGGAACCACTGAACTGTTTTCCATAACAGCTACACCATATTTATTTTATTTTACTTTATTTACATTATTATTATTACTTATTTTTTAAACATTTTTTTGTGGTCCCTCCAGTCCTGGAGAATTCCCCTAGCTCCCAAAGAGCTCTCATGGTTCCACGTCCTTCCGTGTGCGGTCTCTCTCTCTTTTACTTATTGTGCAGAAGGTGTTCAACTGGCTCTCAGTTGCCTCGCGGGAGGAATTGCTCTAAATGTAGGTGTACATTCCATGTATTCTTAAGAGGGGGTGAGCTCAAAGTCCACCTACACCATCATCCGGGACCCGCCTCCAGCTGCACCATTTTATATTCCCACCAGCAAGGTACAAGTGTTCCCCACGTCCTTGCCAACACCTGTTTTCTGTTTTTAACGCCATCCTAGGTGATGTGGAATGGTATGTCATTGTGACTTTGATTTGCGTTTCAATAAACTAATGATGATGAACATCTTTTCAGGTGCTTATTGGCCGTTTGTACATCTTCTTTGAAGAAATGTCTATTCAAGTCTGTTTTCCCTTTTTAAATTGGGTTGTGTTTTTGTGGTTCAGTTGTAACAGCTCTTTATGTATTCTGGAGATGACGCGTCTCTCAAAGGGTCACTCAGCCCCCTGTGCTGCAAATACCGACTACTATTGGGGGGCGAGAGTAGAAGCAGGTCTGTTAGGAGGCTTGTGTGGTAACCTGGACAACAGAGGCCGGTGGCTTGGCCAGAGCGATATAAATGGAGGTCTGAGAAGTGGTTAGAGACTGGATATATTAGAAAGCGGAATTAACATAATTTCCTGAAGCACTGGATGGATATGAGGTGAGAAAAAAAAGAGAGGGGTCAAGAATGACTTCAAAGATCTTGGCTTGAGCCACTGCCAGGATGGAGCTACCCTGGACAGAGATGAGCAAAATTGCAGGAAGAGCAATTTGGGGGGTGAAAGTAGGGAAAAGATCAGGAGCTCGTTTTTTTGACCAGTTCGTTGAATATTTCTATGAGACATCCAAGAGTTGATGTTAAAGAGGCAGCTGGATAGACAGATCTGGAGTTTAGGAAAGAGATACGACTTCGGAAGTCATAGGCATATAAATACCGCTCAAGGCCCGAGAAAGAGATGTGGTCATCGAAGGCGAAGGGGACCAAGGGACACTCCTACACTGAGTCAGGGAGAGGAGAAGGATCCAGCAAAGGCGGCTGGGGAAGAGCTTGCTGTGTGGTGGAAAGAAACCCAGGAGAAGGTGGTGTCTTGGAAACCGAGTGAGGAAAGTGCTCAGGGAGGAGGGAGTTATACCAGATGCTGTTCTTAGGTCCAGTGGGACAGGACCCAAGAATCCATCATGGATTTAGCAACCTCAAGGTCGACGTTTCTTGCGGAGTGAAGAACAGACTTGGTAGAGCGTTGTGGGTAAAGGCATGATAGGAATGGGTTTAGGATAACAAGCATCCACTACTTCCCGGATTTTGCTGCATAGGACAGCAAAGAAATAGGCAGTGTCTGGCAGGGGGATAGAGGTCAAGAGCAGGTTTTTTTGTTTTTTTGTTTGTTTGTTTGTTTTTAAGACTGGGGACATTACAGCGTACTTGTGTGCTGATGGGAATAAGCAGATGGAGAGTGAAACACTGATGATGAAGAAGAGAGAGGGGAGCAATATTTGGAAAGAGAGTGGGACCTAGTGTACAAGCGTAGGGGACATTACTCTACTTTATTGCAGTGAACTTAACTGGAGTTTAGAGGAATTACAGCCTTTGCCCAATGACAGCCCAAGAGACTGAGGCAGGATTGAAAGCTGGGTCACCTTGAATGC